AGGTTTCTTGATGAAACATGAGAACTATTTGGGTTTGTTTATTGTAAAAGAATAGATCGATAAGATTTATACTTAAATTAGAAATACGATATTATTTTTGTGCATATATTATATAACTTTTATTGCATCATCAAAAAACAAACAACATACTTTGGAGAAAAATAACATCACTTTAGTCCAAACAATATTGCTTTGGTGAAAAAGCAACATTGTATTGAAAAATTTACCAGTCTTTAAAGGGGTATTTGGTAAATCTAAATTGTTGACCGGCCATTTTTTGATGTTTTGACTCGCCATTGTTTGGTAAATTGTAAATTAAATGCAGCTTTGAGCAACGTTTTAAATTAGTTGACAAATGGGCTAGACTCATCGACCCAAGCACTTCAAAGCATTTAATGGGCTAGACTCATCAACCCAATTCACTACATGACAAATTAGATGATTTTTTTACATTTAAAAAAAAAAAAAAAAGTAGAAAACATTGTGTTTGCATTGGAGAAGATCAAAAGATGATTTAAGCACAACCTGGAAGGTGTGGTTGAGTGAAGGGACTCATCCATCCTTAACCAAAGGTCAAGGGTTCGATCCTTATCTTTGGCTTTGGGAATGGAGCAACCTTAAATTCAGTAATGGCATGTTTGGTTCATGGAATATGTCGGGAATGGAATAACATTCCTTAGAATAGACCTATTCCATCGTTTGGTTGGATCATTTTGTCATGGGAATAGCATGCCTAGGAATGAGCTATTACCTTCGCAAGGGTAATAGCCATTCCTAGGGGGGCCTTGGTATTAGCTATTCCCATGCCCTTGGGAATAGCTTTTATACCAAAAATACCCTTTGCACATTATATAATATTTATATTTATTTAATAAATATAATGTATTATATAAATGTATATATTTAATTAATTATAATTTTTATCTATCAATATATATATATATATATATATATTTAAATAAATTATTTGTGTGTGTGTGTGTGTGTGTATATATATATATATATATATATATATATATATATATAATTAACTGTATAAGACTCCTTAATTATGGAGCCTTGGCTCATAAATTAAGTAGTCTGTCCATCTGCATGCCTAGCGGATAGGCATTGCAAGCTTGCCTAGCGGATGAGCATTGCAATTGAAATTATGGAGCTTTGAGACTCCTTTTATAGGAGCCTCATGGCTCCATTCCTTACTTCTCAAATCGATGTGGGATAAGTGAGAATATAAATATAAATATAAAAATAAATATGTATTTGTATAATAATAATAATAATAATAATAATTATTATTATTATTATTATTATTATTATTATTATTATTATCATTATTATTATTATTATTATTATTATTATTATTATTATTATTATTATTATTATTATTCTCTCTCTCTCTCTCACATGCATATATATGTATATAAATAAATAAATAAATAAATATATATATATATATATATATATAACATTCAGTATATCATAATCATATTCATTATTATTATTATTATTATTATTATTATTATTATTATTATTATTATTTATTATTATTATTATTATTATTATTATTATTATTATTTTTTTTTTTTTTTTTTTCTATAAGGGTATTTATGTCTTTAAAACCTATTCCATTTCTATTCCTTTAACCAACCAAACAACAGAATACAATTCCTATTTTATTCCTTACCTATTTCATTCCTTGTGGAATAGCATTCCTATTCCCTTCAAATTCATTCCGTGAACCAAACGTGCTATAAGGGAATTAGTCATTGTGTTGACGGTGAAAAGGTTCGTGGCTACCAGAAGCGACCGTATAGTATGGTGTGTGATCGTGATCTTTAGATAGCAGAAGTTTTTGCGATCAAGGAGGGCTTTGAGAAAGATTTTAATCATAATAATTTTATTATTGAAACTGATTGTTTAAATTTTTGTCTTGCTTTTAATTCTCATACTTTAACTTCTCATATGTTGGTTTAGTCGTTAACATAGTGTCACTCTTTGGCTAGGGACATTGGGAACATTTCTGTTCGCAATGTCAAGATGTCAGTGAATCACGTGGCTCATGTGTTTGCACGATCAATGGTTCCTCGTCTATCCTGGGTTCGTGGGCTATCCCGGTCGCTTGCTTGTATTGCTGAATTTTTGAGTTCTTAATGCATTTTTGCTTCATTTGGTTTCAAAAAAAAAAAAAAAAAAAAGGTTAGAGATTTGACAGTCAGATTTTGTGGGTGCTTTATGAAGATATATATAAACATGACTATTATTTTTTATGCGTGATGTGCAAAAATTGATATTCAATATGAGTACTCTATATTAAAATCTTAGATTTATTTAGATTTTAAATATTAGATTATAGATATTTATAATAAATAATAATAATAATAATAATAATAATAATAATAATAATAATAATAATTATTATTATTATTATTATTATTATTATTATTATTATTATTATTATTATTATTATTATTATTTAAACCATTTTATAAATTTGATATTTACTTTGTATATTTTAGGAAATAAATCATATAATACTCCAATATATAATGTCTATATATGATTATCATTAAAGAAGATAGAAAAATATATTGTGGATGTATGTGCATGACAACAATAACTGAAAAAGAAAAAATAGACATAAATAAATTGAATTACTTTCATTATATTCACACCACCCTCAAGCTTAAGAGATAAGGTGATGAACCACCACGCCAACCATGTTGATTAGTTTTTATTTTAATATTAGATACATTAATGCATTTTTAAAAAAATTGTTTCTAAAACCTTTTTAATATAATAATTTAAAAAAAAAAACAAAAAAAACTCTTCAAAAAATTTTGATGTGGTATAAATAGTAGCAAGGAATGTATATATAGCTAATTATGCTATGAATTGAATCTCTATATAAATTTTTATTTAAAAAAAAAAAAAGAATCGTGCATTTAAAAAAAAAAAAAAAGAATCGTGTATATATTTTTTTTCCTTAAAAAGGAAATTAAAATAAGAGAAAATAACACTTTCCCCCCGAGTTATATGCTTGCATTTTGTCCCCCTGAATTATTCAAGTGGCAGTTTTTCCCCTGAAATGTTAAATAAACATATTTACCCTTAAAATAAATATTTTATTTATTTTTCTTCTCCAATAAATTATGACCACGATTTGGTTCAAATCGAACAGACACTATAGCAACCAAACTGAAATATGCCGATTACAATTTAGAATTGAAACCCGATATTTAGAGTTTATTAAAATCGCGAACCGAAACGATTGGTGGATGTTCCGAACTGGAAAAAAAAATACATTTATTGCTGAATTTAGACTATTTTAAAAATAAAAAATAAAATTTTAAAATAAAGTTTGAACCAGCAGTTCAAACTGGATCTAGAATCGTGAACCGACGGTTCAAAATCAAAACCAAATCGCGGTCATATATACTTATATGTGAGAAGCAGAATAAATATAAAAAAGAACATACACTATTTGTAAATATTATAATTCTAATTTTAAACTAATGCTAGTAGTTGTTCCAATTCGAACCACCGGTTCACGGTTCAGGATCCAGTTTTTTGATTCATGATTTTAATAAACTGAAATCCAAATATTGGGTTCTAGATCTGAATCATAACCGAAAACTTTCAATTCGATTGTTATAGTGTCCGGTTCAGTTCGAACTGAACCGTGGTCATCCCTACGTATAAGCAATAATTTGTTGGAGAAGAAAAATAAATAAATGTTTACTCTAAGGGTAGAAATGTCAATTTAATATATCAAGGGGGGGGGGGGGGGGAAACCACCACTTTTAAAATAATTGAGGTGACTAATATGCATACATAAATAATTCAGGGAAAAAATGTGCTATATACATATAATTCAGGGGGAAAAGTGTCATTTTCCTTTAAAATAAAATAAATATCTAGATCATAAAGAATCCAACAAATTCGAGAAAGAAAAAAAATAAAGGCTTAATCGTATCTGGTGGTGGGGTATCAAACACATGTAGATTATAGGCAAATAACGGATGATTTTCAGACATCTTATTTAGTAACAGTGTACACTAGTTCACCTCTATATTAACTTGTTTGACTAAATATGTCTAATCCAGATAAAAGACTTCCCTATAAAAATAAAAAAATAAAAAAATTCAGACATTCAACCAAACACTAAATAATTAAAATATTTTTCAAAAAATGAATCTTTTTTAGAAATTATTTTCCAAAAAATATTTTCCAATTTTAAAATGGACCTTAAATTATGAATATTGTAATACCCTCAATATGCTCGTGCTCTAAATCTGTTAGAATATTGTGTCGATATCTTCTAAATCTAGAAGGTGACTTTAATTTTGGTGATATGAATGCACTTGTCTATATAAGGGTATAGATTAGGCATACAACATAAATTTCTCATTTACTACATTGGAAAGTATGAATTACCCTTGATGCGGTCTTCACAAATAGGGTTTGGAAAATGAATATAGTCATCATTCTATTTATGGAATATGAAATTTATTTATTCTCATTTATTATTTTCAATCTCTATCTGTTTAACGGTCCAGGTCCCTGTTCGCTCCGAGAGTGGTGGGAGTTGGCCGGGGCAATCGTTGCTTCCTCACGAAGAGAGCTCATTTACCATATGAGGTATCACCCAGGTTCAATTATTTCTAATTAAGATTATTTCCATATATGTAATTAATTACTTACAATTGACTACTACTTTATTGCTTATCAAATACTTTGACTGAGGAAGTGATTATGCGTTTTTTATTTTGACCTATTTATTCTCTCATTTATTAATAGTTACGGAGTATTATTTGTTATTTATTATTGCGATTGATATTGAAAATGGAAATTATCTTTATTTTGAGAATGGCAATTATCTTTATAAGAAATAATACTTATTATGCCATATATGTTTCTCATTGATTGACTATACCAAAAGAAGGGTAATGATATGCCTAATACAGACCAATCCAATCCTATAAATTCACCCTACCACCACCACTTTAGTTCAACATTTCTCTCCAAAAAAAAACCCAAAGAATTGTTTATCTCGGAGAAGACCAAAGAGTTGAAGAATAAAAATGTCAAGAGTAAGTTGTATCATCTTCCTGGCCTTCCTCCTCTCCACCACTCTTGTATTTGCAGTTCGTCCTCTGCAGCAGTCCACTCAATTGAATGTTCAAGTAAGCCCTTTTTCATAATCATAAACTTAAAGTTATCGTACGTGATGAAAACTGTTACAATATAATGTAGTATCTGTCCATACATATTTTCTCAATCTATTGAAGCACAAAGAGTCAATGCCCCCATTGGAGTTCACACCTGTGACCGCGTAAATGGGAGATCAGAGTAACAGTTATGTCACTTAACCACCAAGGTTTTTGGCTGAATATTAACTTTTTTTTTTATTTGCAGGGTGTTGGTGCAGAGATTGAGGAAGAAAGGTGTGGGGGTTTGGATGAAGATGAGTGCTTGAAAAGGAGGACATTAAATGCTCATCTTGACTATATATACACACAGAATGGCCCTTCACAGAATGGCCATCCATGAATGTGGCTGTATGTGATTTTATGCAAAATATATATGGTGTCATGCTAATAAGTTTTCTCAATATAATATAAGGTTTATGGATAGATTATGGGCTTTGGCGTTCTCACCTTTTGTTATGGTTTTCCTGATAAAATGATTATTATATATATGGTTTCTAAAACCTAATATGTTTGTCTTACAAGTGTATGTGAATGGATTTTGATTGTAGATTAATATGTATGTTGTATTACATAAGATTATGATGATGGTAATAATCTCACAAATCAATAAATACAATCATTATCTTTTTTTAGTGACGATGAAGAAATCACTTTCGGATAAGTCACCAGTCAAACTATAAACCATACTAGAAAGGTATGTGCGATGGATTTAACCGATAGAGTATTAACAAGAATCAAACTTGTAACTTTCTTGTTCAGAAATCATGTTCCACCCACTTGACCACATCTTTTGAAATATTTGTGTATCTTTGTATCAATTACAACCAAATATAGTACAAAACAAAATCGCTAGCCACTACTTTAGCATTTGCACAAGGTAAACCTTACTCTTGCGTAATAACTTGCAATACAGAGTATATGTATATCACAAAGAAGAATCAAACCTTGGGACACGATTTCTTTTCTTATGGAGAAACACATGGTACGGTAAGAAGGAAGTTGTTTGATCACTTTAAAGGAAGTAACCAATCAAGATAGGATGGCAAATTATGCTCTGCATCTGTATGCACCATGCATGGTGTATACGGATGCACACCATAACTACTCATGAATGCAAATTATGCCGTGGAAACGTGTTCACCATGCTTGGTGAACACAGTCTCAAACAGTGTCGATTTTACCGGAAAAAAAAAAAAATTTAGTTAATGTGCTGTTAACGGCGTTTTGCATTCTATGTTCAGACTATGAATTCACATTTATTAAATTATGGCTTTTCTGTTATGAGATTATGAATTTACAGTTATGTAATTATGAATTTTTTGTACATTCATAATCTCATAACAGAAAATTCATAATATCATAACAGACAATTCATAATTTCATAACTACACATTCATAAATCCATACCTGCACATTCATAATTTATGAGTGTTGAAGAAACTTGCGCGAAGAGGAATTGAAACCGCAAAATGTGAATATGAATAAGAAAAGGCGCGCTGTTAATTTAAAAAAAAAAAAAAAAATTGGTGGAAGATAACGGTGCCCGTAGGCACCGTAACCGTTTGGGACCGTGTTCATCATGGATGGTGAACACGGTTCCATGGCATAACGATTGAGGTCATGAATCACGTGGCTTATGTGCTTGCACAGGCAATGGTTACTCGAGGGAAACGAGGAACAGGAAGAGGATGACGAGCCTAATCCACTGGCACCCGCACGAGCACGAGGAAACTCAAGGGGACAAAATGAAGAGTCTGTCAACGAGCGCATCCTCGCACAGCTCACCCGGCAAAACCAAATCATGGACGAAGGGTTCTCGTCCCTAATCCACGCGACACGCGCTTTAGATTAGAGGGTGGCAGCAATCGAGACCATCATGGGCACTCGCGGGGCAAGTTCGGGAGCAGGAAACCAAGGTAGACCCGAACTTCCCAATCACCAAGAGTCACTTGAAATCCAGTCTACCCCAGCAAGGACAACACGTGGGGCCACGTTCCTAACCAGGAGGCCAAATACAGAATGTCCAAGGGCGAAAGAATGGGTTGACGCACCGGCTTCGGGGACGAAGCCTCTTGTAAGGGGGGGAGAGTGTAACACCCCGTGTTACGGCCCCTAAAACCAATTAATCATTTAATCAATTACCCAAAAGAAAGGACTAAATTCTAATAATTAATTAAGAAAAGGCCCACCATAGTCAATAGTCAATGGGCCTTTATCCCTAAACCCAATCCCCTAGTTCTAGAAGGAATAGAACTAACCCTAATTAGGGACTCTTAGGTATATAAATAGGGGGCATAGGAGGCACCTAGAACCCACTCTCACCACACAAGAAGTTCCAAGAATCCCCCTAGGAGAAATCAAGAAAGAAGGAATCTTAAAGAAAGACCCTTTATAGCCAAGGAAATTAATTAAGGCTAAGAGGTAACCCATGTCTCAACAAAACCTATTTTCCTTGCTATAATTATCTTCTTTGGCCTCCTCTCCATACTTGTGTCTTGATGAATCGTTTATGATATTGATGATATGTTCTTGATGATTGTGAGATGATTTTATGGGTGATCTTGATGATCTTGATGATGATAAGAGGTTCTTGATGATTATGTGATGTTCTTGATGAATCTTGATGTTTTGGTAATTAAAAGATGAACTATGGTTTTATTGATTTGAATATGATTAGAGCCCTAGGTTAAAATTGGGAATTTCATATGGTGTTATTCTTGATATAATTGGGTGGGATTTCACATGTTCGGGTGTTGATTATGTTTAGAAGTCATGATAGGATATGTGCTATATGATTCTTGCTTTTGATCCGTTAATTGTCTACATGGTGTCATCAATTGCGTTTAAAAGTGTCTAAGCATGGTTTCGGGTTCCACAACGGATCCCGGGACGTTTATTTTGGTAAAAAGTCAGTGGGGGGTAGGTGGGGGTAGGGGGACCCGCCACCTACCCGCCGCCCGAAAAGGGCGTCGCCGGCAGCGGGCAGCCGGCGGGCAGGCGACTGCCCGCCGGGCACCCGCTGCCCGGAAACTGGTCGCCGGCGGGTGGCCTTCCACCCACTGGCTTCCCCGTTTGATGTTTCCCCGACCCTCGTGGTGTCCCAACGGACTCCGTTTATCGTGCCTAAGTCTAGTTTGATGTTTCGGGTACCGTTCGTAGGATAAATGAGTCTTATATATCGCATGCTAGTTGAATTGGTATCCCGTTGGCCTAGGTGAAAGAAGTATGAACCCCTTTGGATTATTCCTAGTATGTGGATTATTCCTAGGACCTTAGGACAATAGGCTTAAACCCGAAGTATTTAAGTGCATAGGACTCAGGAGACTTAAGGCGCATGGTGAGATTGTGAGCATAACCACCATCACATATCCCCCCTCGCTCTTGTTTAAATTAAAAGAACTTCCCCTCCGCTTACCACACCAAGGTAAGGGTACAAAACTCTAACTCGACGTTACTATAAACATTGGCCCAGTAAACAGCAGCATGGCACCAAACCGAAGACAATCAAGGACCCCGGAACCCACCACACACGATCCCATGACTCAAACCCTACAGCAACTAACACAAGTCGCCCAGACGCTAAGCGACGTAGCTCTCCGCAACAACAGACCCCCACCACCTCCATCAAACACGAACTCGGAAGTCGCCCGACAAGTTTCAAATCATCAACCACCCACGTTCTCAGGAAAAGAAGATCCCGTAATCCTCGAAGAATGGATCCGGACCTTAGACAAGATTCTAGGGTTGGTAGAATGCCCAGAGGAACGTCGTGTAGAGATAGCCTCATTCTATTTCGGACACGAGGCGGACCTTTGGTGGATCCACGAAGGGCCCACTTACAGACAGGAACCACGATTCGACTGGGAAAACCTCAAAACACGACTACGAGAACGATTCTATCCGACACACGTCAAGGCATCCATGCACGAAGAGTTCCTCACTTGAAACAAGGAACGACTACCGTCATGGAATACCATAAACGGTTCCTCGAGCTAGCACGCTTCGCACCAGAACTAGTCCCCACGGAGGCAACCAAAATAGAAAGGGCAGGTCTCAACTTTGAAGCCCGAAAAGCACTAATAGTAAGCAGACCCCGAACCCTCAACGAGGCTTACTCCAGTGCCGCAAATCTATCGGATCCAATTGCTGCAACGTGGGGTTCAGGAACAGATTCGAAAAAGGAACACAGGAGGTGGAGCACCACCGATGAAAAGAACGAGGAACGACGCCAACACAAGATCAAGCAATCCAGTCGGCCAGAGGCCACCCCTAGGAAACAACGAAACTAACACAAGGAGCTTCCCTTGCCCAAAATGCAACAGAAGCCATAGGGGCAGAGATTGCATGGGCAACCCCTGGCGATGCTTCAACTGCGGGGAAGAAGGGCACAAGGCCTTTCAATGCACTCAACCCCAGAAATCACGCCCCACCACCACGGGCCAACACGGGGGCACGAATCATCAAGGAAACTACGGTGCCCCCGGAAAGGTGTTCGTCATAAGCCGCACCCAGGCCGAACTCAAGAACGAAATCAACCACGAGGAAGGAAACGTGGCCCCAGGAGACGAGGGCCACGCAAACCCACCAGAAGAAAACCAAGAAGATGAATTCTGTTTAGGATGACTGGCAAATCTCTTGTAACCACCCTCGTAGTAAATTACTTACTTAGATTAGCTACTTCGGAATTATTATAAATAAAGAGCTAAATCGAAATTAATTTTAGGAAGACTAGCTTATGCACATCAAACAACAAAAGGGGGAACAATACAAAAAAAAAAAAGAAAAAAAAATTAAAAAAAAAAAAAAAAACCTTCTACGTCGTTTCTGATAGATACTTGAAGTAGCTAATGCAAATACTTGAAGTAGTTATCATCTCTGTGTTATTCCTAAAAAAAAAAACCTTCTACGTCATAATCTCATAACCACGCACGGGTAGAGTATTAACAAGAATCAAACTTGTAACTTTCTTGTTCAGAAATCATGTTCCACCCACTTGACCACATCTTTTGAAATATTTGTGTATCTTTGTATCAATTACAACCAAATATAGTACAAAACAAAATCGCTAGCCACTACTTTAGCATTTGCACAAGGTAAACCTTACTCTTGCGTAATAACTTGCAATACAGAGTATATGTATATCACAAAGAAGAATCAAACCTTGGGACACGATTTCTTTTCTTATGGAGAAACACATGGTACGGTAAGAAGGAAGTTGTTTGATCACTTTAAAGGAAGTAACCAATCAAGATAGGATGGCAAATTATGCTCTGTATCTGTATGCACCATGCATGGTGTATACGGATGCACACCATAACTACTCATGAATGCAAATTATGCCGTGGAAACGTGTTCACCATGCTTGGTGAACACAGTCTCAAACAGTGTCGATTTTACCGGAAAAAAAAAAAAAATTTAGTTAATGTGCTGTTAACGGCGTTTTGCATTCTATGTTCAGACTATGAATTCACATTTATTAAATTATGACTTTTCTGTTATGAGATTATGAATTTACAGTTATGTAATTATGAATTTTTTGTACATTCATAATCTCATAACAGAAAATTCATAATATCATAACAGACAATTCATAATTTCATAACTACACATTCATAAATCCATACCTGCACATTCATAATTTATGAGTGTTGAAGAAACTTGCGCGAAGAGGAATTGAAACCGCAAAATGTGAATATGAATAAGAAAAGGCGCGCTGTTAATTTAAAAAAAAAAAAAAAAAAAATTGGTGGAAGATAACGGTGCCCGTAGGCACCGTAACCGTTTGGGACCGTGTTCATCATGGATGGTGAACACGGTTCCATGGCATAACGATTGAGGTCATGAATCACGTGGCTTATGTGCTTGCACAGGCAATGGTTACTCGTCTGTTCTGGGTTCGTGGCTATCCCACTTGCTTGTATTGCTGAATTTTTTAGTTCCTAATGCATTTTTGCTTCGTTTGGTTTTGGTTTTTTTTTTTTTTTTCTTTTAAGTTAGAGATTTGACAGTCAGATTTTGTGAGTACTTTATGAAGATATATATAGGGCTATTAACGAACTGAACATAAACGAATGGAGGTTGTTCGTGTTCGTTTGTTAAGGAATTTGGGGTGTTCGTGTTCGTGTTCGTGTTCGTTTGTTAAGGTTTTTAAAAATTTTGTTCGTGTTCGTTTGTTAAGCGTTCATTAGTGTTCGTTAATGTTCGCGAACACGTTCACGAACGTGTCCGTTAACGTTAACGAACACGTTCGCGAACGTGTTCATTAACGTTAACGAACACGTTCGCAAACATGTTCATTAACAAGCACGTTCGTGAACACTTAATAAACAAACACATGCACATGTTCACGATCACAATTTGTTCGTGAACAAGAAATATATATATGTTTGTGAACATGCTCGCAAACATTCTTAAACGAACTTGTTCGCGAACACTAAACGAGCTTGTTCGCGAACATTATTAACGAACACAAACGAGCTTGTTCGCGATCGCTTAGCAAACGAGCTTACAACTGTTTAGACTCTGTTCCTTTATTAACCGAGCTCTATTTTGTTTGTTAATGTTCGTTTACCTTAATAAACGAATATAAACGAACGCTTACAGAACACGAACACGAGTAGTTTGTCGAAAGATGTTCGCTAACACCAATAGATATATATAAACATGACTATTATTTTTTATGCCTGATGTGCAAAAATCAATATCCAATATGAGTACTCTATATTAAAATTTGGAATAAGGTTCAAATTGGCCACTGAACGTAACCTGAAAATGCAATTAGGCCACTGAACTTAAAAAAAGTGCAATTAGGCCACTGAACACACCAAATGTATGCAATTTCACCAGATAGCAGGTTACTATCAATTTTAGCAGTTTACCTGCTTACGTGGCAGCTGAGTTGGCATTTTAAATAATTTTTAAATATTTTTTAATAATTTTTAATAATAAATTTATAAAAAATTTTAAAAAATTAATAAATAAACCCCTTCGTTTTTTTTTTAAATTTTCTTTTTAAATTTTTTTTAAAAAATTTATTATTAAAATTTATTAAAAAGTATTTAAAAATTATTTAAAATGCCAACTCAGCTGCCACGTCAGCAAGTAATCTGCTAAAATTGATGATAACCTGCTATCCGGTGAAATTGCATACATTTGGAGTGTTCAGTGGCCTAATTACATATTTTTGAAGTGTTCAGTGGTCTAATTGCACTTTTTTTTCGTTCAGTGGCCCAATTGCATTTTCAGGTTACGTTCAGTGGCCAATTTGAACCTTATTCCTTAAAATTTTAGTTTTATTTAGATTTTAAATATTAGATTCTAGATATTTATAATAAATAATAATAATAATAATAATAATAATAATAATAATAATAATAATTATTATTATTATTATTATTATTATTATTATTATTATATTATTATTATTATTATTATTATTTTGATTATTATGTAAACCATTTTTATAAATTTGATATTTACTCCATATATTTTAGGAAATAAATCATATAATACTCCAATATATAATGTCTATATATGATTACCATTAAAGAAGATAAGAAAATATATGGTGGATGTATGTGCTCATTTTATACCCCAATATATAATGTCTATATATGATTATCATTAAAGAAGATAAGAAAATATATGGTGGATATATGTGCATAACAACAATAATTGAAAAAGAAAAAGCAAAGACAAATAAATGGAATAACTTTCATTATAGCTTTTATTTTACTGCCAAATGATTTGCTCCGTTCATATGAGTGGAATCAAACCTCCAACCCCAAGTTTAAGAGACAATATGCTGAAACACTACGCCATCCATGTAGGTTAGTTTTTATTTTATATTAGATACATTAATACATTTAAACAATTTTCGTTTCTAAAACCTTTTTAATATAATAATTTAAAAAAAAAAACAAAAAACTCTTCAAATTTTTTTGAGTGGTATAAATAGTAGCAAGGAATGTATATATATATATATATATATATATATATATATATATATATATATATATATATCTAATTATGCTATGAATTGAATCTCTATAATTTTTTTTTTTAAAAAAAAATGAATTGTGTATTTTTTTTCCTTACAAAGAGGAAATTAAAATAAAATAAATATCTAGATCATAAAGAATTCGACAAATTCGAGAAAAATAAAAAATAAAGACTTAATTGTATCTGGTGGTGGGGTATCAAACACATGTAGATTATAGGCAAATAACGGATGATTTTCAGTCATCTTATTAGTATAGTGTACACTAGTTCACCTCTATATTAACTTGTTTGACTAAATATGTCTAATCCCGATAAAAGACTTCTCTGTATAAAAAATAAAATAAAATAAAATTCAGACATTTAACCAAACATTAAAAAATTAAAATATTTTTCAAAAAATGAATCATTTTTTAAAAATTATTTTTCAAAAAATATTTCCAATTTTAAAACGGACCTTAAATTATGAATATTTGTAATACCCTCCGTCTGCTCGTGCTCTAAATCTGTTAGAACGAATATTGTGTCGATATCTTGTTAAATCTAGAGGGTGAATTTAATTTTGGTGATATGAATGCACTTGTCTATATAAGTTGTATAGATTCTTCCCATATAAGGTGTATAGATTAGGCATACAACATAAATTTCTCATTTACCACATTGGAAAGTATGAATTACCCTTGATGCGGTCTTCACAATGGAAAATGAATGTAGTCATCATTCTATTTATGGAGTATTACATTTTCCACTCGATAAATCATATTTTTCAACATTCTAATAACAATTTTTTAGTACTACTGATTCTGTTACAATGCAATATCATCTACTGAAGCACACATATCATATCGCCTCTACTGTGGCAAGAATCTACAATCTCTCATATGGAAGAGCAACTTGATGCTACTAGACCACAAGTTCATTGGAATATGAAAAATTTGTTTATTCTCATTTATTGTGAATTTGTTGTGATTTATTATTTCCATATATGTAATTAATTAAACTACTACTTTATTGCTTATCAACTACTTTGACTGAGGAAGTGATTATGCGTATCAGTAAAATTTTGATTTTGACCTATTTATTCTCTCATTTATTAAGAGTTACGGAGTATTATTTGTTATTTATTATTGCGATTGATATTGAAATTGGAAATTATCTTTATAAGAAATAATACTTATTATGCGAGTGAATTTCATTTTTGGTCCTACTGTTATAGAGGCGTTTTCAATTTTAGTCCACCTTAATTTTTGTTGCCACTTTACAACCACTGTTATTGAATATGTTCCACTTTTAGTCCACCGTTAATATTTTCGTCAAGAGGCCGTATAATCCACGGGTATTTTGATCTTTTTATGGTTGTCTCTTCTCTTTTAATCTAGGCACTTCGTCTTCCTCCTCCGATATTCGAAGATGGCTCTTCGAACAACGAGAATGGGAAGCCAAAGCTACATCGTTTCGTTCGTTCCAACGTGGACCGGCGAGGTTTCTTAGGTTTTAGGTTTAATGTTCTCATTTCCTTTAGTCAAACATAGTCTTGGATGAAAAGGAAGATCAAAATACCCCTAGATTACACGGCCTCTTGATGGAATTACTAACGGTGGACTAAAAGTGAAACACATTTAATAATAGTGGTCATAAAGTGACAAAAAAAATAAAGATAGACTAAAATTGAAAAACACCCGTATAACAGTAGGACCAAAAATGGAATTCACTCTTTATTATGCCATATATGTTTCTCATTGATTGACTATACCAAAAGAAGGGTAATGATATGCATAATACAGACCAATCCAATCCTATAAATTCACCCTACCACCTCCAGTTTAGTTCAACATTTCTCTCCAAAAAAAAACCCAAAGAATTGTATATCTCGTAGAAGACCAAAGAGTTGAAGAATCAAAATGTCAAGAGTAAGTTGTATCATCTTCCTGGCCTTCCTCCTCTCCACCACTCTTGTATTTGCAGTTCGTCCTCTGCAGCAGTCCACTCAATTGAATCTTCAAGTAAGCCCCTTTATCATAATCATAAACTTTAAGTTATCGTATGTGATAAAAACTGTTACAATATAGTATCTGTCCATACATACTTTCTCAGTCTATTGAAGTACAAAGAATCAATGTCTCCATTTGGGATATCAGAGCAACAGTTATGCTGCTTGACCACAAGTCCTGCGAGTTGATTGAGTTGTTATTTGCAGGGTGTTGGTGCAGAGATTGAGGAAGAAAGGTGTGGGGGTTTGGATGAAGATGAGTGCTTGAAAAGGAGGACATTAAATGCTCATCTTGACTATATATACACTCAGAATGCCCATCCATGAATGTGGTGGCTATGAGTTTATGCAAAATATGGTGTCATGCTAAATAAGATTACTCAATATAATGTAAGGTTTATGGATAGATTATGGGCTTTGGCGTTCTCATCTCATTTTTTGTTATGGTTTTCCATTATGTAATGATAAAATGATTATTATATATATCGTTTCTAAAAACTAATATGTTTGTCTTACAAGTGTATGTGAATGGATTTTGATTGTAGATTAATATGTATCTTGTATTACATAAGATTACGATGATACCGTAAAATCTCACAAACCAATAAATACAATTATTATCTTTTTTTTTTAGTGACGACGAAGAAACTACTTTCGGTTAAATCACAAGTCAAACTATACTGAAAAAACGTAAACCATACTAGAAAGGTACAGAAAAAACGTAAACCATACTAGAAAGGTGTGTGCGACGAATTTAACCGATAAAGTATTGACAAGAATCAAACTTGTTAACTTTCTTATACAAGAATCATGTTCCATCCACTCGACCACATCTTTTTGAATATTTTTATATCTTTGTATCAATTACAACCAAATATAGTACAAATCAAAATTGCTAGCTACTACTTTATCGTGTGCATAAGGTAAACCCCACTCTTACGTAATAACTTAAGATTCGGAGTATATGTATATCACAAAGAAGAATCAAACCCTGGGACACGATATTTCTTTTCTTAAGGAGAAACACATGGTACGTAAGAAGGAAGATGTTTGATCACTTCAAAGGAAGTAACCAATCAAAGATAGGATAGGATGGGTGGAGCATAGCAGAGGAGAAAATGGCAGAAAAAGCCTAATTTGACAAGTCACATCCTTCACTGAAAGTTGGGTCTCTGTAAGGAAAATTTCTATTACTATCAAAGAAAAAGATTGAAAAACGACACAAAACTCACCTTCATACTCCACTTCTTTAAGTTCTTTTCACACTAGCCCTTTGATCTACAAGTGCAAAACCTTTATTCAAGTGAGAACACCAATCTTAACCTGCAAACTGCGAACTTGTAAAGGATTGCATCACAACTGGTGCAATCTATCTGGATGCGGTGCAATCATGTAATAAGTGCGGTGCAATCTTTCACAAGTTCGCAGTTCACTAGGGACAATCTGGTATATGCATCCCATGGGATGAAACTAATCCAATTTAGTCGTCTATGTCGGGTCTCGACCGCATGCCACTTAAACCATATAAACTGTTTTGGTGAGAGGACAACTTTCATTCCAAGGGTCCACATTTCAGTTTAAAGAAGAAAATCAAACATTTACAGGGCGTTTGGTTGGAGGGATTTTAAATTCCCTTCCCACTTAATTCCCACCTAATTCTAAAGGTCATTAAATTCCGTAGTTTGGTTGGAGGGAATTGCAATTCCATGGAATTGTAATTCCCCCATTTTCATGGAATTAAAATCTCATGTCCCCCCCGGTATTTTAATTCCTGGGAAAAAAAGATAGTGATGAGTCAAAATTACCCCTTCCTTTTTTAACCTAAAATTAATGTCCAACAACAATAATGGACATTTTTGACTTTATACTACTTATTCCCTTTCAATTCCCATATATACCAAACATTGGAATTGAAATTCCCAGTAATTCTATTCCTATCAACCAAACACTGGAATTTAAATTCCCACTTTATTCCCAGTAATTCAACTCCCATGGAATTACAATTCCTTTCCCACATAATTCCCCCCCTCCAACCAAACGCCCTGTTAAAGGCTAATAAGTATGTAAGATCTTGCAGCATATATTGACCTTCTCTCCCAACAGAATTTCATTCACCAACAACTAGTTGCACAGGACTGACCTTATTTCTCAGGGATTGGAACCTCTGATAATGATAACTGAAACTCCTTGCACTATCAACTTGGCCTAGCTTCACATGGTACCTGCAAGCATGTCAGAAACTCGGGGTCGGAGGGGTAAAACAGAAACCATTGGGTAATGGATTATGAATATACAATAGAAGAATGCAAGTACAAAGTGCCAATGTATGCAATAATTCAATTGACACTGGTTGTGTGTGTTGGGTGCAGGACAAGAGCCAAGACATTTTCTGCAAAATTGGGTCTCATATATGAACCTCTGAAACGTCAATTCAATCTTAGAATTTAGAACGTACAAATAAATGGAGAAATGGATGTAAAACCAAGTTGAAACGGGAAACAAAAGATAACAGTACTTAAAGAAAACAATCAATTCAACAAATAAAGCCAGTGCTTAATGAATCCTCACTCTAATTATACTACTAAGACCAAAAAATATCACATACCCTTTCTCTGCACCGTAAGTTAGGACCGGTGGCTCTAGGAATTTTGCTGTTCTCACTGCAAAAATATTGTTCAAAACATCATCAATCACTACAAACTTTAAGAAAAATCAGAAATATGTTCAAAGTTATCTTATCGAAATCCCTCTTAACAAATTAGAGCATACATGTGGCTGTATGTACTCCGGCTTATGTGGTTGTACCTGTGGATAGGATATCACAGAAATAAACATGCCGGTACAAGCAAACTTGAGTATTATCTTGCATTTTATAGCAAGAAAATGTTTAATTGATTGAATGTGAGAAAAAACTAGAGAAAATTGAGTGTTATCTTGCATTTTAGATTGAGCAAGAAAATTTTTAATTGATTTAATGTGAGAAAACAAGCAAAAATAAGAAACTCAAATAGCTTTGAGACATCCATGAAAGATTGTTTCACATCTTAAAACTGTAGAGTTATACGAAGCCCAAAGAAATCAGAATAATAACAGTGAACCTATGATTAAAGAGAGGGTGAAAAAGGCACCTCAGCAATCAATTTAAAGCATATTTCTTTACTTGTTTAGTTAGCATGCATTACTTTTTACCAAAAATTTTAACAAATTCCATTTTTATCCTATAATCATTCATGCAAGCTCACATTCATAAGAAACATATTTGGCAAATTCCTGAAAGTATAACAGGAAATGATATTCCAATTGCTTCAGAAATGGGAAAAGCAAAGGTAATAAAAAGCTAATATAAGTTCTCCAAAGTCATACTCTGCTCTACACTAGAAACTACAATTCTATTCGTTTTTCATGACTCCACAATTTACATAAAATAAGTAAAAATTGACCAAAAAGTAATGCCTCTTTGTGGTTATGGATGAAGCTCTGGAAATATATTAAGTTATTGAAGCTATCAAAATGATGCTCAAGAAAGAAATAATGCGTTTTTCTTCAATTACATCTGCAACGTGTTAGTATAGGAAAAAATCACAAGTTCACTTCTGTTATTGCCCAAACAGAGATAAGAAATCATCACAAATACGATATAGAAATGCACCTAGAAGATTTCTATTATAGACTAAAAATAAGTGTTTGTACCCATTCTATTAGATCGAATGGTCTACAACATTTTCTAATAGAATAGGAAAAGATCACTTTAGGCAGGCAATAAAGTTTGAGTACTGCCTAGTACATGCAAAAAGAATGCAAAGCATATCGTAAGAATGACATATGACTTAGCACCAACGTATCTGATGACATCCAGCCCACGCTCGATAACTTCTTTATGAATTACGCTAACACTTCTTCTCAAGCTATCGGACAGTTTCCATAAGAAGAACTCGACAATGGATTTGACAGTTTCAAACGTCACCCTGCCAGTCACATCGAGCACGAGTCGCCTATTGCTTGGCACTGCCAATGTTGATGAAACAGTATTCAGCCATCTGTTACTTTGTAGGTCAATGGATTTTCTCGTTTCTTTAACTTTCCCTGAAGACACTTGCTCAAAAGCCTTGTCACTTGACTGGCCTGAACCAACGCTTTGATCAACAATGGGAAGTGAGGAAGACAAACCTCTATCAGATTTCGATCCAGAAGTTGTTAAGACTTGGTGGGATGTCTTGATTACGGTTTCCACAGCACCATTACAGAGAGAAACTAGAATGTCCCTCACTTTGGCATGATGCTCGGGATTAGTCAACCCGGAGAATATCTCATCGTAGAAATTAACACCCGCTGTCTTATCAAGATACATAGCAACTGCAGTGCTCACAAATGTCTTGATACAATCAGCTATGAGCACTTTACATCGATCATCACATAACAAATCTACCCACCCTGATTGGTTTGATTTCACATTCAGTCCCTCATGTGGTTGGCCGTTCGAGTAAAATCCCATAACCAAGTTCCTCGCAAAGCTACCAACAACCACAGAAACGAAACCAGTCCCAGCACTACTCGTCAGCCTATCCATAAGCTTATCTGAAAAGTTTTTACTTCCAAGCTCATCAATCTTGCCCGTATTTTCTTCCGACCTATAACCCCTCAAAACCCCAATCATTACAGCCTCGGAAACTCTACTCACCGACTGAGCAAACTCCTCGGACTGTGCAATTTTCGACAATTGCTTCAAACTCTTAGGAACCTCGTCCGAATCAGACTGCAAAAATTCCTTCAAATCATTCGAGACCACACTCATCACTTCAGCAGATTCAGACACCATCTCAGCCATAGAAATCAAAGCTCCCAGCAGCTTCACAATCCTCCTCCTCTTCCTCACAACAGATGGCATATTATAAACTTTGTAAGCTCCATAAGATGAAACCCCAACCAACCCAAGTGCAATTAGCCACTTCTTCTTCCTCGGACTTAACGCCAAACCCTTCTTCACCACCTCCAAATCCATCTATCTAAGATCAACCCCTAACCTCCTCTTCAGTGATTCAAATACCAAATGAACCCTAGACCTTAAAATCGACTAAACCTAGGGTCCTGAAGTTTTCATTGGCAAAACCAGATCTTTATTACCCAAAACGTGAATGAAAAGCAGACACATATATAGTCTGCATACCGAGGAACCTAACGAGCTGAGCTCTGAAATGCAGCCATAATTGAATAATGATTAGGAGAATATTTAATGAAACACACATCACACGCGCAATTTATAACCAGAATTCACGAGTAGATATAGAATATAGGTTGTTGAAGAAAAACAAACCTGTGGCTATGGCGACGATGGGTCGATTGAGCAGACAGAATGGCGAAGGAAAACGAGGAAGATGAAGCGAGTTTGTTGATATGGTAGTTTTATTACGTCAACGTATCAGCAACGGGGGAAAACCTTAGGGAATTTGGTACGAATCCTCTTCACGTAATTTTGCAACCTCTAGGTGTGCAGTAATAAATTTCACCATTGCATCTTGATCGGATTAAACTAAGAAAGTTAATATATCACTTTCATTAAAAGTTGAAGGAGTTTATTTAATATTGTTAATTTTATGACGAGAGAAAATATATAGATAGAACATAGGTATTTTGTATTGATGAATATTATTTCTGAATAGTAAAAATTATATCATCTTTTTCATGTATGGGGTCTATTTATACATATTTACAATGAATAAGAATTCTTTGTTATATTGAGAATAATAAGCCCTAATCCTATAACTCTTTGAATAATGAGTCTAATCTTTATTACATTATGAATAATAAGTACAATCCTTAACAAACTCCTAAGGTTCTTCGTACTTAGTATTATTGTTGGGCTTTCTTGATCCAGTTGTTTTCTTAGATCAATCTATGTGGCCCAGGCCTAGTGTACCATCCATCATCCAGGCCCCTCTTTCTTATTCCCCATCAGTTAATCCTGCCTATAAACCCGGGGCATGAGATGGCATCTCAATTTGAAAATTAGTAATACCACACCCCCCCCCCCTCCCCCTCGTATTTTTTTTTTGTGGACCAAATGGTCAGTCAACTGAGCGACTGGGCGGTCATGGCCGACCGTCAACTGAGTGACCGCTCGGCATGACTAGCTGGTCGTGCCCAACTATAATTAATTTCCCATAAGTATAGAATCAATCGGGTTCCTTCTCTAATAAAAAGGATCTCTAGAAGTTGTTTTTTATGTTTTTAATGGTGGTGAACAATGGTTAGCGGCGATCAACGTCTAATTACACTTTTAAATGAAGTTCAAGGGTCAAAATATAAGGTAATTGTATACGTGAAGGTTCTGCCTAGTGACCTTTAACATAAGATCTAAAGGACCTTCCAACAAAACTAACTCAAATTATGGTGGCCTAAATGTATTTTAAATATTTAAACCAAAAATCTATAGTATATATAAAATGTGGGGAATTGGGTGGTGGGCCCTGGGCAAAGGCCCAACCTGCCTTTGCCCAGGGTCGGGCCTGCATATGTAAGAACATCATTTTTGTAGTAAATTAGTGAATAGATTAGATGTAACAAATTTTGAGAAGTCAAATTTGCATCTAATTCTTCTCGATGTCAATTTTTATTATATGGATCTGCATCACATTCGTTTTTGGTGAATGCAAATTTGAAGATCAAATGACATTTGATGGATCTATACCCACCCTAGTCGAGTTACTAAAAGTAAAATGTATCATGATTTAGTTTCAATTTCAATCGTGTTTTTCAATATGTATAGATTTTCATTTGAAAGTTTAGATATTTAATGTGACTTAAAATATCTTCATTTTAGAGACATATAGAGAAGATTTAAGAAAACGACAAGAATGTTACCAAAAAATAAAAGTATCACCACATCTTGATCTTATCAGATAAAAAAAATGTAATGATCAAATAAGATATGTATAGTTTAGTCCTATCTTTTGTTCTGTATCAATCAAAACACGTTATATAAGTATGAACAAAAATGAAATAAAAAAATGAGAATAGGTATAACATTTTTTTTCAAAATTTGGGCGCAATCTTACCCTACTTCAGAAAAAAAAATAAATTGATAGATACTTGGAAGGCAACATCTAACAACCCATTGAAGTCCATTAAAAAATAGCAAATACTCAGCTAACTAATTGTGTACATTATTAATTGATGCAAGGACTGTAAGGACTAAGGAGTAGTAATATATATTTAGTTATTCATCAACTACCTAACAAGTTGGTTGTGCTACACATGGATCACATGTTCCGGGAAAGTAACCTGGGAAGATCCGACAATTTCATATCCACACTATATGTATAATAATCAAACAGAAAAATATATTAATGTAGTCCCCATCTTTTCCAAAAAGTTAACAATGACCCAACCTGAGAAATCACATTGCAAAAAGTGTCCTACTAAATACAACTTGAAACTTCTTTTTTTTTTTTAAATGACAAAGAGATATAGAAATCATGTTTCATCGACTTCATCACCTTTTTTAGGATGTGAAACGTTGCTTTGGATATATTAATAAGTGATTTTTTTGCCATTTATATTAATTATACTTTGCCAATTGAAGCGTGGTTATATATAGGTGGAGATCTAGTATTTTCAAATTGGGAGGAGCTTATTGTTTTTAGTTTTATTAAACCTATGGAAAAATACGAATTAAAGTGTCCTATTAACATACATGTTATGATCATTCTGACAGATTTGTCATGTTTTTGTTGCAAAGCAATTCTACATGTACTTTTATTTTATACTCTTTATGATCTGTCATGCTTTTATTCGCAAATTATGCTGTGCAATCGAATGCACCATGCGCATGGTGCATTCAATCCAAAACGACGTCGTTTTAGTTAAAAAACGCGCGTCCCACTTAAAGAAGAAATCAAGTTCGATTCCCGACAATAGCATTTTTATATATCCATAAATTCATAAGTATATATCAACAAATTCATAACTATATATCAACAAATTCATAACTATATATCCACAGTGAATGAATGAAGTAAAAATCCACAATGAATGAACTAAATATCCACAATGATTGAACTAAATATCCACAATGAATAAACTAAATATCCATAAATTCATAACTATATATCCAGAAATTCATAATTATATATCCAGAAATTCATAACTATATATCCACAGTGAATGAATGAACTAAATATCTACAATGAATGAACTAAATATCCACAATGAATGAACTAAATATCCATAAATTCATAATTATATATCCAGAAATTCATAACTATATATCCGGAAATTCATAACTATATATCCACAATAATGCTATTGCCGAGAATCGAACCTGAATTTTTTTTTAAGTGGGACGCGCGTTTTTAGTCAAAACGACGTCGTTTTGCATCGTATGCACCATGTGCATGGTGCATTCGGTTGCACAGCATAACTATTGGTTTTTATTGCTTAGTATAAGGGGGGTCATGATTTTTATTTTTTTTTTTTTTTTTTTTTTTTTTTTTTATCTTAGTGGAAGTAGATTTTTGGAGTCCAAGTAATATTTTTGTTAGTTTAATCCATTGTCTACTCCAAACATGCCATATATTTTTGTTGGGTGTATCCAGGATTTTCACCGTTGGACACGGTGACTAATCCCATGGTAGACACCTCTTTTGAATGAGACAGCTGCTCTGGAGATTTAAGGTTGCTCCATACCCAATCAATGAACAAAACCTTAAAATAGGGAGAAAAGTTATTACAAATTTTACCGAATATATATATATATATATATATATATATATATATATATATATATATATATATATATATATATATAATGGTCATAACATGTGGTTAAATTAACTTTTTTTTTCCTATAAAAAAATAATTTCTTTGGGTGATGAGGTAAACTTGTAACTACTGCTTGATGATGTGTATTAGGTAAACCCCGCTCTCAGATAATAACAACCACACAAGAACTGTGAACTACGTTACGAAGGCCATGTACGACAGTTTTAACTGAGAGAATATTGGCAAAAATCTAACTCATAACTTTCAAATACGAGAATCATGCTTCACTTACTCATACATCACTTTTTTTTTGAAGTTCAAAGCTTAATGCATTAAATCACCAATAAGACAATTTATAAGAAAAGCTGGTGGGACATCAAACCATTCCCCACAACATGACTCTGAATAGGCCTCCCTAGCCACAATGTGGACGGCACCATTCGCAGATCATTTTGTAAACTTGAATTGGACATCGTCTATCCCGGACGCCAATTCTTTAACATCATCTACTATAAGACCGAACACAGAAGAAAAAGAAGGACTAGTAAAAGAATAAAAAACTGTTTGTGAATCCATCTCAACATCAACACAACCCATTCCAGTGTCGAGCCAACTCAAGGCTTTCCTTAGACTGATAGACTCCGCCTCATCAACTGTATAGACTCCATGCAAACATCACTTTTAGACCCAAAAAAAAATAATAATAAAAAATCCCATTTTGAAATTATTGAAGATGTAATGGTCACTACAACTAAGCTTTGGCAATGTATTATGCACTACTTTTGTTTAGAACAATGAATTTAGATTTGTGGAGTAAGAAATAAACTCCCTTATCACAATCTAGGATGAGAAAAATATCCAAATTTTATTCTCCTAATTGGTGGTGGTTATTCACTTGTTCTTTGCCCCCTATATATTAATTAAAAAAAGAAATACACACTCTCTCTCTCTCTCTTTACACTTAGGGGGCGTTTGGTTCACGGAATGTTATATTACATTAGGGAATGTTAGATTGCTGGGAATGTTAGATTGCTGGGAATGTTAGATTCTTGTGTTTGGTTTAAAACTAAGATATGTAAATAAGATAACGGTAATAAGATAAATTGATTAAAACGTCTAAAGCCCAACATTATTAATAAGACAAGGGAATGTGAGATTACATAAGAAATTGGAGGGTATCTCACATTCCCTTCCAATAGCTAAAAAAAACTTAATGCGGGGGTTATTTTACATTCCCTGGGAAAGTTACATAACCTGAAGCAAACATGGGAATCTTATATTACCAAGCAAATATAACCTTGGTTATCTTATATAACCTGAACCAAACACCCCCTTAGGATATTTTAGATTGGGGCCTAAATAATTGTTGGGCTTTCCTATTGCTAAATTGATATTCTGACATTAGTGCCATAAATACTTTATGAACAAGCATAGGCAGATGGAATTAAGTAGAGGCCCAAACACATTGATGATTACACTTCATTCTATTTTAACAAAGTTGAAGATATATATATATGGTTCCTTTTGACCAGCAAACAACCCAAGTGCAGTTCAACTTAAACACCAATGGGCTATGCATACTTCAACCAAAACTGCTAGTACTGGTGGCCTATTTAGGGGGCAAATTATATCGTGGACCAGAACGCACAAGCTCAAAACGATATTGTTTTGTATCTTTTAATTAACGATTTTTTTTTTTGAAACTTC